CCTGGGCAGCCGCCGGTCCCCTCCCGCGGCCTAGCGCTGGCCCTGCCGCCCGCTAGTGACACTCTGCCGCCGTGCTCCCTTTGGGACACGCAGGGCCTGAACGTGGTAGCCTGGCCCGTCCGGTTGTCCCCTTCGGGCCCAGCCTGTGCGGATGCTGTTACAGACGGAGCACCCCCATAACCCACCCCTGCAGCGTGTTGGCTGGCTCCGGTGAAGCCGCTGTCCCTGCAATTAAGATATGGCGCTGCTGGCCTGCTTCCACCACGCAGCACAGCGTGACAGGGGACCCGAACGAGTCCCTGAAGCAGCACCGTTGGAGCCTCTGCTGCCTGCTTGGAGAAATTTGGCTCCAGCAGCAGCCCCAAGAACAGCTACATGTTTGGGTTTTTCCCTCTCAAAGATTCTGAGAAGTCTGCTGGATCAGAAGGGAGGACTTTCCAGTTCAGGACAAAATGGGAGGCAGGAGCACACTCGAATGAGAAGTCTCACTGTACAGCATTTGATGCGGTAAGTAGGGCAAGAAGTGACTGGTTCACACCTATGCTGAATTACCTATTCCTTTCATAAGGTGATACAAACTGTTTAGTGTCAGATCTGACAGATTAGTAGATGCACAAGACAGATACATTATAAATTATAGCCCGGGACCCAAAAGACCGTGTCTACAAGGAAGGTGAAGACTGAATACAGGGTTGTGACTAGAGCCAGAGAATTTGCAGATAGAACTATTGAGGGTTAAGGAGCAATGTAGCACTAGCCTCACTGGAACTGAAGGTTTTTAAGCTGTGCCTTCCTGAAGCTGCGAAGGGACAAGTTGTGGAAGAAGCTTCTGTAGCTCGGCAGCCTTCCCACCACAGTTTGAGGACCGTTCCATTAACAGTTGCAAATAACAGAAGGTGGAGCTTGTGGAACTACTGGCCCTCACAGCCCTTGCCAAGTTGGTGCTTAGGGACTAAGAGGTGACAAAGAGTACAAGATACTTTTCTCTGACGTTTTTCCAGTTTCTGACATACTTTCAGAGAAGGATTTGCTACATCTCTGGTTGATAGATGTAATAACCCCCAGCTGCTCTCTTCCAGGTGCTTGCTCAGTCTCCACTTGGATCTGTGCACATTTCCTGATTCCATGCCTTCTGGCAAGAGTCGCATAGGTCTGGTGCCCTGCTCCTGAGAATGTGGGCTTCAGCTGCTTGAACAGACTTTGGCTTCACCTTCCTAAGGCTTAGACTTCAAGGAAGTTCTTTTCATTCCCTATCACTTCCAACCAAGTGCTTCTGAAGACAAGAGTAGCATTACTCTGTAACAAAATACATCAAGTCAGCAGATAACTCCCCAATTAACAGTCAAATTAACAACTATGGGAGAAGAGACAGGCAGATGCCTGCTCATCATACAGATTTTCCTGAAGTATATAATGGTCTCTGTGATGCTGGACTAGAGGGATGCCAGCTTTGACTCACCATAATTTCTCCACTAAAGGAACCAATAGCAGTTATGGAAAACCAGAAGCTAGAGTTTTTAAAAACAGTTAAGTATCTGAATTACTTTTGCAAATCCTGACTAAATTATAAACAGAAGGCCACTTGGTCAGTAAGTGTCATTAATACGGGGTTAAGCCATCATGAGGGTGAAAGAGACAAATCCTGTTCTTAAAAGACGGGTTTTGATGCATTTCAACTAACATTTGGATCATTCATGCTTAATATTAATCACAGATAAATGGAGGGCAAAGGGGCAAGCAGCCAGCAGGAAGACATATTGGCAGGCACTCTTGGCACTAACTTGAAAATTTGGCTACAAGGAAGAACCTCTTAAGATGGAGTGTACTCAAATTGTCAAGTGGGATGTGAGAACCTGGGGCTCACAAAGACCAAAAGGATGCTAGAAGCCTGGCCAAAAAATAGAGGACTTTCAGGTCACGTTCAGGGATGCAGGCTGGAACAGATGTCTGTGCGAAGTATGTCAGAAATGATTACTGGGGCAGAACTTGCACAGAGGAACAGCAGCAGGACCTTGGGACTGGGCCAGAAATGCACAGTGAAGGTTGCAGAAAGCACCAGGAACCCAACTGAGTAAAAGCTGGCTTTATTCTGACCACGCTGCTCCAAAACCACGCTCCACACACTGAACCCACAGTTGTTTCTAGCGGTGCTTCCCGGTGCGATTGAAGCGCCGGTACAAGTACCGGATCCTCTTGCTGAGTTTGTGGTAGTCATCTGCAAACATCCGATCTCCCACCACCTGCTTCTTGCGAATGCACCTCCCTGTCCCCCCGCCAGCCGCGCAGCCACTTGGGCCCCATGATGAGCTTCTTCGGGTGTATCTGGAAGCCGCCTGAGAACAGAAAGGCAGAGCAGAGCGCGTAAAGCCAGGTACTGGAGGGGGCTGTTCCCAGGGCGACCGGCCCCAATCCCCCGCCCGCCGCCCTCTCGCTGCT